TGTTGGAACTTATTCTGTAAGATTATGCTTCTGGGCTGGGGTTGTAGCTCAGTAGTAGAGTCCTTGCCTAGCATGTGTGAGGTACTGGGTTTGATTCTCAGCACCGCATATAAATAAGTAAAATAAAGGTCCATTGACAACTAAAACAACAACAAAAAAAGATTCATGCTTCTTCTTGTTGCTGCTGTTGTTGTGCAGTGCTGGGGATGGAACCCAGGGCCTCATGCATGCCAGGCAAGTGCTCTACCACTGAGCCACATACCCAGCCCCAGGCTTGTTTTGTATAACAAAGAAAAAAGTCTATTTCCATATTTTAGGTCAAAACAATACTACCAAACAACACTCCAGGATGCTGTGTAAGCTGTCCTGAAGCCCCACCTGACAATCCCCTGGAACTGTCAGGGTTACTTATCCCACTGTCTCCCTTGTTCCTGTCACAAAACTGTGAATTACTGAAAACCAAAGGCAGAGTCTCCTTCCTCTGGGTACTAGTATCGCCTAGGTGAACATTTATTGAATGAATTAACTTTCTGAGAATAAGGGTACAGAGATAGGCAAGGGCTGCTGCGAACAGAGAAGGCTTCACAGAGGAGGCAAGACTTCAAACAGAAGGAACCATCAGATAATAATCTTCATTACAACTTTAGTTTCCAAACAGTATTCACAGAAGCAATGGGGGAGAGCAGGGTGGGAGTCTTTTCTTTTGGAACCCTGGGGTAAGGGCAGAAGGAAAACTCCTTCCTGTAAGCACCCAGCGTTCTCTGATTTAAACACTATCCTCCCATGCCCTAAAGGCCCATAATGCAATGTGGTGGTCTGTAATTTTGCAGAGGCACAAATCCAGACCCTGTGTGACTTGAGGCTTGATATGGCAAATAAGTCATGGCTGCATCTAGCCTACCCCCTATCATGCCTGAGCTGCTCCCTCTGTGCGACTTTGCAGGGCTTTATGTCATATCACACAGAGGTTCTTGGCATGAGAGGAAAAAAAGCAAACTTTCACTTCTTTGTGGAAGATGCAATGTGGCAGGGCATAATGGCACATGCCTGTAATCCCAGCAGCTTGAGAAGCTGAGGCAGGAGGATCACAAGTTCAAGGCCACCTTCATCAACTTAGCAATACCCTCAGCAACTTAGCAAGACCCTGCATCAAAAAATAAAAAGGGCTGGAGATATGGGTCAGTGGTGAAGAGCCCCCAGGTTGAATCCCTGGTGCCAAAAAAAAGGGAAAGAGAGAACTACAGAAGAGAGAGAGAGAGAGAGAGAGAGAGAGAGAGAGAGAGAGAAAAGATGGTTAACTTATGCCAGGATTATTCTTGGGAGTAGAGAGATATGGAAGACCCTACTCCAAGGGTCTGTGGTGCCAAGGGATCCATGGCATCTTGTTTAGTGCCATGAGCCCCTTCTCTGAATGAGGGTTAAATACATTAAACAAAATACCTAGGATTATAAAGGAAATTAAGTGTACTGAAATATAGTTCTATCCATGGGCCCTAGGTTAAGCCTCTTGCCCTCCCTTACTGTATTCATTAAAAAGGCAGAGAACTGGACAAACATTACTATACTTTTCAATTTAGGGATTCAGACAAGTTATCCTGACCCATCTCTTCCATGAAATTAAGCACATCTGTAATCCCAACAACTGCAGAGGCAGAGGCAGGAGGATTCCAAGTCCTAGGCCAGACTCAGCAACTAAATAAGACCTTGTTTCAAATTTTAAAAAATAAAAACCAAGAAGGGTTAGGGATGTAGCTCAGAGGTAGAGCACCATTGGGTCCAATCTCTAGTATTACAAAAGAAAAAAAAAGTTCAAAAAAGTATGGGAAGGCTATATTAGAACTCCTACCTACTTATCTAAAACACAAAAAATTACACAGTACAAAAATTTAACATATAGTTTGCTCTCCATATACCAGTTTCCAGGCCAACTTTGGGGAACCTGGCCCAAGAAAGGAGGAAGACCTGTACCACTGGAGCTGAAGATGGGTTGGCACCTCACTCTGCATTTTTGTGTGTTTGAGTTAACTATGCTACTTAAATGCAGTTAAGATCTGTATTTTTAAAAAAAAAAAAAAAAAACATGAATCTTCACACAATGGACAGGTGGCTTAAAAGGATAGGATGCCTGCAAAGAAACTAAAGACCAAGGATGAGGCCAGTAAAGGAAGCACAATCAAATAAGAAAACGGCCATGCAACACTAGAAACTCATAGTAGGAATTCCTTGTCAGCCATGAAAAGAGGTTATGAAAAAGTCCAAAATCATTCAAAAAACTGGAAATTATCAAGAACACCAAAATATAGATTTGTAGTTACTATTCTCAAGGAAAATGTTCTTTCTTGCCTGAAAGTGTATATCACTTTGAAAAAAAAAAATAAGTAGAAAGCCACCAAAATTAGCAGATGTTTATTCCATCACTTATCACATCTGTTTTAAATAACTATTTCTGCCTGTAATCCCAGCTACTCGGAGGCTGAGGCAGTAGGATCACAAGTTCGAGGCCTGCCTTGGCAACTTAATGAGACCCTGTCTCAAACAACATAAACAAATAAAAAAAGAAAGAAAAAAGAACTGAGGATGTAGCTCAGGGGCTAAACGCTGGTGAATTCAATCCCCAGTAGAATACATTAAAAAAAAAAAAAACTCTATTTCGGTTTATTTTATAAGGTACATAGGTTAACAATCGTGTGCACTTCATACGTAAGTTTATCTATAGTGAAGGTATACATTCTATTTTTCTTAGAAATGAAAGTATACAATCAAAATCTATTTAACTCTACTTATACTCATTTATATACGCCCAACAGAAGGGGTGTCTTAGTATCCAGTGTCCAGCACTGCCCGGCACACAGTAGGTGCCCAGTGAGGGGTGCCACTCCTCCCAGGCTGCGCGGTAGCGCGCCCTCGCGGTGGGCAGTGATTTAACCTCTGTGCTCAGTCCCCTCCGCAGTAACAGAGAGGAAGCGACCGTCGGGCCTCTGGTGACTGCAGCGGGGCAGTAAGCCGCGGACTTACAGCTCCAGGCGGGCGTCGGGTCCCCAAAGGACTGGCTCCTCTTGGCACAGAGCCTCCAGGAAGCGGCCCCAGTCGAAGGGCTCCCCACCGCGGCGACCCAGCGTCCGCAGCACCCCGAGGCCGCGCCGCGCCCCCTCCGGCCCAGCCTGCAATGCCTGCAGCAGAAGGCGGGCGGGTGCTTCCAAGGACGCCCAAGGTGCGGATCCTTCATCCCCAGTCCCAGGGGTCGCCATCCCGGGCGCAGGTGCCGCGCCACCCTACTCCCCTCGCTCTAATTAAGGCCTCAGCTTCGAGGCTGGCCCAGACGTGACAGCGCCTCCTCCAGCGCGGGACACTACACAGACACCATCTCAAACTCGAGCGGTTCCCGCGCTGAGGAGCAGGGAGACGAGGCGGGGCCAGGGTGGGAGGCGAGGCGCGAGTGCGGACAGGAAGAGGCGGGTCCACAGATTGCCAGGCCGGAGAGTAGGTGTGGCGCCAATGACGGGGCGTGTCCGGGGGCGGGGCTGGGCCAGAACGGGCGGTTGGCTTGTGGGCGGAGCGCGTCAGAGAGGGATCTTAATGGGGCGGGGCTTAGTGGAGGGGCGGATCCTCGGGACTGACCCTAAGCTCATCTTCTTCAGTCACCCGCAGAAGCGGTGGGGCAGAATAGAGGCCCAGAGGCTGGGGCTGTAGATCAGTGGTAGAGTGCTTACCTGGCTATGCTAGCACCTGGGGCGGACTCCCCAATACCGCAAAAAGAAAAAGGGAAATTTATGGTATTTACCCTGCCGTTTAATTTCAACCAAGTCAAATGCTGCCCCGTTTGGTGTTTCAGTCATCTACAATTATTTTGTGAATCTTTCAAAGACCAAGTAGCAGTCTTGCCTTGATTGTCTATAGGTGCCAGGAGTGGCGCCACCTTCCACTTAGAGGATGCAAGAGATCACTGAACTCCTCTAGGAGTTGGAAGAGCCAGCCCTCAGCGCCCCATAAATCTCCACTTTGGGAGCCAACTTGTACTGTCCGTCCTCCCAGCTCTGGTGCCACACAGAGCCATTCATTCAGTGTTTACTAGGGGCTGGGGTTGTGGCTCAACAGAGCGCTCGCCTAGCACAAGCCAGGCGCTGGGTTCCATCCTCAGCACCACATAAAAATAAAGGTATTGTGTCCAACTAAAACAAAATACTAAAAAAAAAAAAAAAAGTGTTTACTGAGCACCTAGGAACTGGGAATACAGGGGACCAAACACAAGTCATTGCCTTCATCACTGACATACAAGTGAAGAGAGAAAGCTAAATAAGTAAGCAATAGAATGTTTGTGATATAGAACTTTCAAGAAGCCAGATACAGTGGTGTGCACCTATAATCCCCGCGACTCTGGGAGGCTGAGACAGGAGGAGATGGCAAGTTCAAAGCCAGCCACAATAATTTAGAAAGACCATCTCAAAATAAAAAATAAAAGAACTGGAGGTGTAGCTCACTGGTAGAACACCACAGGTTCAATCCCCAGTACTAGAGGGGTGGGGGACAGCACAGAAGGGAATCAGGGTGAGTAATCAAGATGTGGGTAGGCCATGAAGAACCAGGAATCCCTGCCAGCCTCAACTATAATCTCACTCCCTACTCTACAGCTCCCGCACCAAGATCTGCATCTAGCCAACTGGAAGGAAAATGGGGTTAAATTCTAAACAGTTCAAGGGCCCTGGGAGATCCCAAGATCCTTTCAAAGACTTTGTAAGGTCATAAAAGTTTTCATGATGTTATTTGCCTTTCTCATTTGTCTCCTCTTATGTGTGTACAGCAGAGACTTCCAGAAGCTAAGTGACAGGTGAAAGTATAAAAGATTGAATGAAAGAGCAACCCTACTCCCCTTGGGGGTGGGGCTGGGCTATAAGCAGATCATTCTTCAGATGCACAGTGACAGTTTAGGTGCATTTTATTAGTTTTCTTCTAAAATCCTACAAAAGAGCAAAGTTAAAAGCCAAGACACTGGCAAGCAGGTAAGAATCCTTTCTCACTCCAGAAGCCATCCTCCATTCCTGTGTCCCTCAGTTGTGTCACTGCTGTGGTTTACAGGGGTAAAGGGTTGGCTACTTTTGCCTACCACTAAACCCCACAGGGGAAAGAACCACCAGCCCTTCCCCTCGTCCCATCTCCTCCAGCCGATCCTGGTGTAGCAAGCCATAGAGAACTGTTGAGACCTAGCAGGAGTTCTGAACCTCAGAGAGCCAGAGCCAGGGCACAGTCTGTGAAGAACATATCCTCTTCTGGCTTGGTGGCCCCTTAAGAACAGTGCTGGGCCCAGTACCTGGAACTAGAGAGAAAAATTATTGAAAACCCATCAGCTTCAACTGTGATTGTCCTGGAAACAGGAAGCTCAAGGCTCACGTGTGAGCTGGGCAGGTTGGACACAGCACAGTAGTGTAAGCACAGGCACCATCCACACCAGGGAGCTCAAGGCTCACATATGAGCTGGGCAGGTTGGACACAGCACAATGGTGTAAGCACAGGCACCATCCACACCCCAGACATCATACAGAGGTTTACAGTTACCATGGACATTAATTATACACCATGACCAGGAGCCTCCCTGATCCCATGTCCCTACTGTTATCACCTTACTCCCAGAGACCAGTTGAACACTGTCAGGCCAAGGAGGACCAGAGACCGGGGTCTTAGCTGGAAGCTGGTGCAGGTAGATGCAGTCAGATTTGAAGGGGCAGCGGCCTCTCCCCCTCATGAAGAACCGGCAGGGGATCTGGCTGTGACAAAGTAGAGGCAGATAAAGACTATCATCTCCAAGCTCTGTTGTTTCAGGAATAAGGAGCTCTCTAGGCTGACACAAGGTTGGGCAGGTTTCACCTAGCATCCCATCTAAGCCAGTACCGTACCAGTGTAGATTTTACACTTCTTCCACTCTCTTCCAGCAGGTGGCAGTGAAGTATCTTAAAGGGTATCTAATTTTCATTTTCAAGGGCTGCCCTTCAGTACCCTTGTCAGCGACCCCATATTTTCAAAGATCATCAAAGCAAACAACATACATTCATATCAATGTATTTTCCTGTCTTAAAAAAACACATTGAAAATAGCTAGGCATCGTGGCACACATCTGTAATCCCAGCTACTCAGGAAGCTTGAGACAGGAGGAGCACAAGTTCAAGGCCTGCAACTTAGCAAGATGCTAACCAAAAAAAAGGACTGGGGATGTAGCTTAGTGGTAGAATACCCTTGGGTTCAACCCCCAGTACCTCTAAATAAATAAATAGATAAATAGATGAATAGAAAGAGATAGAAAATTAACCCTGCTGCCATCTCAGACCCTGTTATTAAACAGATTTGCTAAAATTATAAAAACTGGTCACAGCCTTTTGGGCCACTTCTGAGCTTCCAGTGTTTGAGGATCCCAGGCTGAGAGCCACCTCCCTCCTCCCCACCCCGCCAGCCTCACCTGGTCCAAGCCTTGAAATTCCTGATGAGCTGCTCCTTCTTGGGCCCCTCGCCCACCCAGAACTTGTGGGGAATCATGTAGCTGGAATGAACTCGGCACTGGGGACAGGCCCTGCATGAGATAAGTGGGGGTTGAATGGGGGGGGGGGCAGTCACAAGCCCACAGGCTGGCCTCCTGGTCCATGTCTCTGTGGGCAATTCCCTCCCTCCCTCCCTGCTGGCACCTGCATGACACTGACTTGATGACATTCAGCGGAAGGTTCTGATGGTTCTTCCGCCAGGTACGGAGGCAGCCCAGGCAGTGAGCATGGGTACAGTTGGGCAGGATGCCAAACACCCGCTCAGCTTCCGGCTTGTCCCACACTTTATCCATACAGATGCCACACACCACATCCCGACTGTCCTGCTTTCCCTGCAACCACAGATGGGGTGAAACACTTGCCCACTCCTACCCCCCAAACAGCCCCAGAGCCTTCTCCAGTCCCCTCCCCCAGAAGGTGGGGGCATCCCCAGAGGTGCAGCAGCAGCCAGTTTCTGTCATCCCTTCCCTGCTACCTGCCACTCCTCAAGGTCCAGGCTCTGAAGTGGGGCTGTCAGCTCCGGGAAAGGGTGGGACTCTGGCTGAGAGTCCTGGGAGTGGCTGAGATGCCCGCCAGCAGCTGTGGGGAAAACCGCATCCATTCACCCACTGATGTAGCATGCAAGGTTCAGAGCTGGCCCCAAACCCTGCCCCACGTAGTTCAGAGTTCAGTCCTAATCTTATTTTAAGATACTGGGGATCAAACCCAGGCGCACTCTACCACGGAGCTACATCCCCAGCTCTTTTTATTGTGATCAGAGTCTTGCTAAGTTGCCCAGGCTGGCCTGGGACTTCAGATCCTCCTGCTCAGCTTCCCTAGTAGCTGAAAATACAGGTGTGCACCACTGCACCCAGCACTAACAATGCTTAATATTCACTGCATAATGAATAACATTGATAGCACTGGATATATGCTTTGATAATGTTTTAATTAGCTTTTTCATCGTTGCTACCTAAAGACCTGATGAGAACAATACAGAGGGGCTGGGGATGTGGCTCAAGTAGTAGCGCGCTCGCCTGGCATGCGTGCGGCCCGGGTTCGATCCTCAGCACCACATACAAACAAAGATGTTGTTTCCACCGAAAACTAAAAAATAAAATATTAAAAAGAACAATACAGAGAAGGAAAAGCTTTTTTTGGTTCATCAGCCAACTCCATAGATCTGGGCTCAAGGTGACAGAACATCATGGTGGAAGGGTATGGGGAGGAAAGTATCTCAGAACATTAGAGCCAGGAAGCAGAGAAAAAGCTCTGCTCACCAGGGACAAAATATAAACCCAAAGGCATATACCTCCCAGTGACCTACCTCCCCTAGTCACACCCTGTTTGTCTAGAGTTAATGCTCAGTTAATCCATTTCAGTGGATTAATCCACTGATTAGGTTAAAGTTCTCATAATCTTCTCATCTCTGAAAATTCTCTCATTTTCTCACACATGAGCTTTTGAGGGACACCTCACATCTACGGGTTAAACATTAAAAGATATATTAGCTTAAAATTTGAAATTTTAAAAAGTTGCTTTTACTTTTTTTAATGTGGCTACTAGAAAAAATTTAATTTTACATGTGATTTGTAAGATGGTTCAGCCATTTTGGAAAACAGTCTAGCAGTTACTTTAAATAGTAGACATAGCAGGTCTATATTCCCAGCAACTCAGAGAAGCTGAAGCAGGAGGATCACAAGTTCAAGGCCAGCCTGGGCAACTTAGCAAGATCCTGTGTCAAAATAAAATAAAAGGGCTGGGGATGTAGCTCAGTGGTAGAGCACTCCTGGGTTTAATCCCTAGTGTATGCGCATGTATGGCAGAGTTGATATGAGTCAGCAATTCCATTCTGAGGGATACACATAAGAGATATGAAAATATGTCCACACAAAAACTTAAACATGAATGTTCACAGAAAATAATACCTATGATAGCCAATTAACAATCAAAATGTCCATCAGCAGGTGAATGGAGAGATAAGATGTATTCTATCCCTACAGTAGAATGTTATTTGGCCACAAAAAGGAATGCAATTCTGATACATGTTACAACATAAATGAATCTAGAAAATTCTAGGCCAGTGATCATTTATGTGACGTGTCTACAATAGACAAATCTAAACAGAGAGAAAGTAGACTAGAGTTTACCAATGACTGGGAAGGGGGAGGGTAGATGGAAAGTGACTGCTAAAGGGATTCTTCTTGGGGTAAAGATAATTTTCTAAAATTTAGATGGTTATGTTTGCACAACTCTGAATACACTAGAACACATTGAATTGTATTAGTGAATTTTTTTGGTTTGTGAATTGTATATCAATAAAACTGTTACAAAAAAAATGCATCTGTGCCATATATTGCCTTTGGACAATGCTAATTTGGGGTAATCATTTAAAAATAACCACTACCACTAACAATTGTTGAGTGTTCCTTTATGCCAGGCACTAAGCACATCATTGCCCTTGAAATGACCAGTGAGGTAAATAATTGTCCTTTTTTCTTCTTTTTGTAATTGCACTTATTTACAGGTATCGGTGTCCTTTTGAAGATGAGGAAACTGAGGCCCAGAGGTGAAGCAACTAGTCCAAAATCACACAGCTACCAAATGGTGGAGTTAGCATTTGAAACTAGTTGCTCTGCCTCCACAGGCACCATGGGATTCTGCTTCCAAAACACAGAGCAAGGGAGCCAGAGGACAATTTCCCTCCAGCTGGGAATCCTGAGGAAGTTAGAGGGGAAAGGAAATAGAAAGTCTGCTCAGAGGCAGAACAGGAACCCTGGTGTCAGATCCCACTTTATCCCACCTGCATCCCTTGATGACTCACGTGATGGAGACGGAGACAGAGGTTTCCAGGAACTTCCACCAACCTCCCGCAGATCAGGCTCCATGTCCCAGTGGGGATGAGGCCAGGCCCAGCCTATGGCCATAGCAATGGAGGGCAGGTGGGTGGGCTCCGAACCCCTGTGGGTCAGTCCCAGCTGGGGCTCCAGAAGAGTGACATGTGGCTCTGGGTGGTGGTGGCCCCATTCTGGGGGCACGGGGGGTCTCAGGTTCTGATAGCTGTATGGGGAAGAGAGTGAGGAGACAGGAATAGCCTCTAGGGCTCAGAGCTAGCTCAGCCTGGAGGCTGAGTAGACTCAAGGAGGACACAGTCCACAAAAAGGGGTTCTTCCAGCATCCCTGCCCCCAGCCCCTCACACTTACCTGCATCGATCTTGGTAGAAGCAGAAGCCCCGATGGAAGTACCTGCAGACTTGGGGCACCTTTCTGTCATAAGCACGGCAGCTGGACCCCCAGTGATCAGCCCTGAGAACAAAGTTTCTAAGATATTGCCTGAGCCATGCCCAGCTCCATTTTAGTTCCTGCCTTTGTGATCCTTAGAGAGGCTGCCATGGCACAGGGAGAAGAACCCTGGCTCTGGAATTGGTCCTGTGTTCAGAACTACACCTGGGGGAACTTGGAGAGTAACCTAACTTCTCTAAAGCTTAGGTTCCTCAAAAATGAGGTAATAATACCCACCCCCCCACAGGGTGGCTGAAAGGGCTTAAGGTTTTGCACACTGCCTAGAGCAGGTGCTCAGTGAAACACCATGGTTATGATTATTTCCTCCAAGTGTAGAGTCTGTGGGGTCTGGAGTTAGAATCTGGGTTCAAATTCTCGGGTACCAGGGCTGGCTACCAGGGCTGACTGGGTGTGAGCCCGCACAGTCACAGGGGGCCCTACATTGGCTTTAATGCTCTGACATTGCTATCTTGAAATTAATAGTCGTTTTTGAATAAGGGACCCCCTCATTTTTATTTTGCACTGGGTCCCACAAATGATATAGCAAGTTCTGCCTGGTACCACTATGTTTTGGCTGGATAAGTTTGGACAAGCTGCCTCCGTCTCCTTGTTAGTAAAATGAGGGCAATACTAGTACTGACGTCAGAAACTAATGTCAGGTTTGATTGAGACCATCTATATAGCAGCTGGCACACAGCCAGCCCTCAGGACATATTTGCTGGGATCACTCCTACCCTCAGCATCAGCATCATCCAGGAGCTCTTGAGGTTAAGGGTGGGAGGGGAAGAGGAGGAGGAGGAGGAGGAGGTGGGCAAACTTAGAACCTTCCTAAGCATCCAGGCATAGGCATGGGTCAGGGGCAGGTTGGGGTAGAGAGGACCTCTGCTCCTGTCACACCCTGCCTTGCTCAGAGGGGAATGAGCACCCATCAAGTGGCCAGGGGAGCAGGCATGGGGACAGAGGCTGCCTGGGCAGGAACGTCTCACACCTCTGACCAGAGTGCACCCAAGAGCGAGGGGCTGGCAGAGAAGCTGGCAGAGGGCAGGAAAGGCAGAGATGAGTACCAAGGGGCCGGATGGTTAGTCTTGTGGGCCTCCATCTATAATAAGGTGATGACCCTTTCTGTATGCCTTGGACCCTGCCCGAGGGGCTCATGGGAGATGAGAGAGAGAACCAAGAAACCAGGGCCAGGACTCGGGGCAGGGGAGTGAGGTACTCGCCTGGGCCACAAAACTTCAGGGGATGCCAAAAACACTTAAGTCCCTAGAAGAAATAACACCTAAGGGCAATATTGTAAAAGAATCCACAAGGAACAAAATATCAAACTTTTGGATAAAGATCGGCTCCAACTTGGCATGACCCACCCCTTCCCTCCCCAGTCCAGGCCCAGCCACAAGACAAGTAACCCAGATGGATGCAGATGGGGGCAAGGGCTCCCAGGAAATAAACTAGCAAGGCAGGGAGTGGCTGGCAGGAAAGGGGAGGAAGGGGCGGGGCAGGGGCGGTATTGTGGACAGGGTGGGCAGGGAGGCCATTAAGGAGGTGCTAGCAATGGTGACCTTGTTACAACTGCTGTGTTGTTACATAATGACATACTTATAACAAGTGTCATTTTTACAGAACTGTTGAAGGCCAGGGGTATAAATGTAAAATCATGAAACAGTTACTCTTGTTCACAGATCACTATGTAGGTTTCACCATATTCAGAGGAAATTCAAAGAATTGCCTGCCCCCATTGGACAAAGCCCCCTTTAATCCCACCCACTTATTGGCATGAACAACATTGTCAAATGCTTATAATGTATAAAGATTAAAAACAGAAATTGAGGGCTGGTTTTATGGCTCAGTGATAGAGTGCTTGCCTAGCATGTGTGAGGGACTGGGTTTGATTCTCAGCAACACATGTAACTAAATGAATAAAATAAAGAACCATCAACATCCAAAAATAATTATGTGGGTGTGCGTATAAATTGAATTAAGAGTGAGCCCTCTCCTTCTAGCAATCAGTGATATTTACCAAAAATATATGTGGTTTTTGGGGGGAGGAAAAGGAGGGGAAAAAAAGCAAGCCTAGTAAAATACAAGTCCATGCCAGTAATTCCAGTGGCTTGTGAGGCTGAGGCAGGAGGATAACAAATCAAGGTCAGCCTCAGCAATTTACAAAGGCCCCTAGCAACTTAGCAAGACCCTGTCTCAAAATAAAAAACTAAACAGGCTGGGGATGTGGCTCAGTGATTAGACACTCCTGGGTTCAATCCCTGGTATGAACAAAAAAAAAAAAAAAAAAAAAGAAAAAAGGAAAGAAAAACAAAGTACAATAATCCCATCTATCTCAGGAGAAAAATAAACAAACAAATAAATTTTCTTGGATTATTTCCCTATAGTCTCCATCATACTGGGGATTAAACCCAGAGATACTCTACTACTGAGTTCACCGCCTGCCCTTTTTTTATTTTTATCTTTTGAGACAGGTCTAAGTTTTCCAGGCTGGCCTCAAACATGTGATCCTCCTGCCTCAGCCTCCTGAGTCACTGGGATTCCAGGTGTGGGTCACCGCACCACACAAAAATTCGTTGCTTTATTGACTGTTACTGTATTGTATTTAAGTTGCTTTCACCAATTAAGTACTACTCATAGCCAAGTCTAGAAAAATTTATATTTCACAAATATTTTTGTTGCAGAAACATACTATTGTGATCATGATGAGCTCCTCTGGGCACGGTGTGCATGCCCGTAATCCCAGTGATTGGGAGTCCTGAGGCTGGAGGATCGAGGATTGCAAGTTCAAGGCCAGCCTTGGCAATTTAGCAAGGTCCCGTCTCAAATAACAAAGGACTGGGGATGCAGCTCGGTGGTAGAGCACGGCTGGACTTGATCCCTAGTGCCCCAAAGGGAGACAGACAACTGTGGGGAGTAGAAGAGAATGCAGGCATCCAGGAAGAAAAGGGGATGATGTCTGTTCACACACAGAGTTTGTTTTTGTTTTCAAACAGGGTCTCCCTATTTTTCCCAGGTTGGTCATTTGTTGCTGTTTTCTTGGTACTGGGGTTTAAATCCAGGGGCGCTTTACCAGGAGGACATTCTTGGTCCCTTTTATTTTTTAATCACTAAAATGTGACCTCAAACTTGCAATCCTGCCTCATCCTCCCAAAGTGCTTGGATTACAGCTGTGTGCCACCTGCCCAGTTATTTTTTCAAATGGACATTATTTGTTACATTTCCATGATATTTAGGTGCCATCGTAAAACATTTTAAAGAGCAATGTCCCAGCTAGGAGTGTACTCAGTGGCAGAGTGCTTGCCTGGTATGCACAAGGCCCTGGGTTCAATCCCCATTATGGCAAAAAAAAAAAAAGTAACACTTTTACACAAACCTGCCCTTCTCTCTCTTTTCTGGTCAGCTGACCACACAGCAAGTAACTGAGAGGACACAAAGCACAACCTGAAATGCCCATGACAGATTCTGCAAGGCAGATACCCCCATCTTCATGGAACCATCTTCACTGCCTGGTTTGGAAACAGTGAGAAACCCTGTGCAGGAAGACTGAGGCCCAATTCTTGGGGGCCAAGAGCTTTGAAAACATGCCTCACAGTCTTGGCTTAACCATCAGCCTTAGAAAACAAAAGATCCATAATTGGTGAAAAGCATTTGATTTACTACAACAACTATTCTTCAAAAACATCTTTTAAAAGAATCTCTTTTGAACTCAAAAACCTTAATACCAAAAACCAAAATAGCCCATTCAATAAACGAGCTAAGGAACTGTACAGGCAGGCACTTCACAGGAGAAGAAATACAATTGATCAACAAATATATGAAAAAAGGTTCAATATGTCTAGCAATTAGAGAAATGCAAATCAAAACTACACTGGGATTCCATTTCACTGCAGTAAGAACAGCAATTATCAAGAACACAAGTAACAATAAATGTTGGTGAGGATATGGGGAAGAAATTACACTCAATCATTGCTGGTGGGACTGCAAATTGGGGCAACCACTCTGGAAAGCAGTATGGAGATTTCCTCAGAAATTTTAGAATGGAACCACCATTTGACCCAGATATCCCATTGCTCAGTTTATACCCACAGACTAATCAGCACACTGTAGTGACGCAGCCACATCAAGGTTCATAGCAGCTCAATTCACAATAGCTTAGCTATCAAACCAATCTAGGTGCCCTTCAAGAGATCAATGGATAAAGAAATTGTGGTACATATACACATGGAATATTACTCAGCCTTAAAGAAGAACAAAATTATGGCATTTGCTAGTAAATGGATGGAACTGGAGAATATCACGCTAAGCAAAATAAGCCAATCCCAAAGGCTGAATGTTTTTCTGATATGTGAATGCTACTTCACAATTGGGCAGGGGCGCTAGGGAAGAATAGCAGTACTTTGGATTAGACAGAGGAGACTGAAAGGAAGGGAGGGTGTATAGGGGTAGGAATACCCTATATGCATATATGATTACATGACCTGTGTAACTCTATGTCATGTATACAACCAGAGAATGAGAAGCTACACTCCATTTAAGATGTGTCAAAATGCATTCTACTGTCATGTATTACTAAATAGAACAAAAATATGTTTTAAAAATTAAAAAAGAAAAAATCTCT